CCTCAAATACATGCTTCTCAGAAATGTTGGATGTTAATTGCAGAAGAGCTATGTTGCTCTTTTTTTTTTTCTAGTGGAAGTATCACACAATTAATGCTTATTTTCTCTGGTAAATTTTCATTCTGTGTTGTTTTTTCTCCATTTTTTTTTCTCCTATGGTCAGGAAAGCCACCATTGCAAGGACAGGTTCCTCAGAGTGTGGTGCCCACCTGGTTGAGACTACAAGCAGCAATGGCTGCAACAGTGAGTGCATTTAAAATGAAGCAATGAAAGCAGGGAAAGAAGATTTATTTAGTGAAAAGCTTCTGCTTTGTTTGTTTTTCAGAAATAATAACGGAGTAAAGCATTAGAGTGGAAGAATGGTGAGAAAATGATGTGCAGAGCAACCCTAACAGCTGCAGAGGTTGATATGGTAAGGGGGTTAAGAAAAGAAAGCACCCTAATAGGAGGCCTGCTTTTATCTTAGAGAAGACTGCAATTAATAAATGAAGAAAATCTGCTGCATTCAGTAGAGTATTTTTATAGGTGCATCAGATTATTCAGAAATCACTACAACCTACGTTTGAATTTTGTGAGATTTTCCATGACAAGCTACTGGTTTTAGTAATGCACAGATAAGGTGTGAGATAGACAGATAGGTAGATAGGTAAATAGATAGATAGGTAGACTGATTTCTGTATGAGAAGCATAACATAATTATCCTTCTCTACAAGAGAACACGAGGCAACCATTGGATTTTTCAGCATGAGGTTATGCTGTGAACATTTGTCCTGGAGAAGCTGAGGACTGCCTCGATTCAGGAGCTTCAAAACTCGTAGCTGTGTTACACGTCCAGGACTTGGCCTGCTTCAGAATACTTCAGAATACACTTACAGTATTAATTATTACTTTCCTCAAGGCAATAGTTGGGCTTTTATTAACAGAGGGTGAGGTACCACTACTGGTGTATAGGTCAGCTTCCTGATGCAAGATTTTAATTCAAAGAAAATACTGGGAGAACAGATTGGTAATGGTTAGAAGTTTAGTTTATAGAGTATTTACCCTTTGTTTGGTATATGTCTCTAATACTAAGCAAGGCACCTTCCTTGATATTTTTGTGTTGCCTTCTAAAAATCTCCCTAACGAGGAATCCCAGCTTCTATTTTACAGAGCACAGATGTCAGGAATTTTATTCATCGTGTCCATCCCTGAAACAAAGCAATATGCAGCCAGATGTCTTGGTTAGACAAGTGCTGCCCTCTGTAACAACACCTTTGTTTTATCCCCATCACCAATATCTGAATCACTCTCTGGTTCCTTACAGGGTTATGTGGCTCGGGCAAAGAGAAGCCAAGTGACATGGTCTGTCTCTCCCCTGATGACACAAAGAGAATGGCTGGGTACTGAGAGGCATAGAAGACATGAATTGAACAGTCCTACTTTCATCTCGTTTCTAGTGCTGGAGGTTGTGACTAAGACAAAAACCAACATGCATCCATACAGCAGCACATCACCTAGCAGCTCACTACGTGGCATCGACCGTGCTGTACTGAAGAAAAAGTTTGAGAACATTTCTGGAAGTGAAAGGGAAGAAAATGCAGAATGCAGATTTCTCATCTCTGAAATAAGGGGAAAAAAAGTGTCTAGAAACGAAGGTGGAAAGGAAGATGTGAATAAGAGTCAATTCCTGGGGCGTCTACTGCATGCTCTGGCATCAGAAAAGATAGCGTCTATTTTACACACGCGTAGATGCAAACACAGCAAGACAAAGAAGGAAAGACAAAGTGTTACGGTGTATACAGTAAGAAGTCAAGGAGAAAATAATAATATAACAGCAAATAGTAAACAGAGAAAAATGCATTACTTTCTGAGGACTCATGTGAAAGAAGCTGGAGTACGAGCGAAAGCTCAGCATCTGCAGGAAAACATCCAATCAACCAGAGATCCTGAACCAGAAACGTTCCAGTTGTATAAAGCATAGCTTCCTCCTCAAATTAACCAGCTTACATGCTGGTTTTGGGACCCCAAACCCTTGTCAGTTACCCAGGAGGACACTGTTAATACTGTTTAAAAGGCTAGGAAAGAACAAAGTGATTTTTCATCGCATGCGGACACGCCACTGTTAGATTCACAGTTCAGGAGATGTGCAACAATCCTGACAGCTGCATCAGGATCAGAGTTAGCTGAAATACTCTGCACAGTCTCTGTGGAATTGAGTCAGAGAAGACTGCTGTCAGGCAACCTCTGTGCATTACTGATCACGAGACATTCAGACTGACTAACAGTAACATCCAGCACGCTGTTTTCACCGAAGAAGAAAAGGCTTATGGTCATCTGAAATGGAAACTGAGGGAGGAAATCTTGAAGTTGTACTCTGCAAACAGTTAAAACCCTCTCAGCTTTCTAGACAGACGTGGAATAATTCTCCAGTATTGCCACTCACATTTGCATTATCTGGGAAACAATTTGTACAAAAAGTGAGAATGAATAAATCAAAGGGGTGTTTAAATGCAAACAACTCCATCTATGAAACAAGGTTATCTCTGAATGAAATCTTATTAGCGGTCAACACTGCTTCACATCCATTGCAACTGAGAACGTTTCAGCTTCTGAAATTAATTATTTCCATTCATTAGCTTGGTGAATTTGCCTTTCAGGTCACAAGGAGAGGAGGATATAAATTCATTTTAAGCTGGTCAAACACCACAGGAAGCACAGGGTAGCCCACATTACATCTGATTTAATAAACTTGCACAATGCTGTCAAGCAGTGCTTGTTTAAAAATTAAGTAGTCCTGTGAGCAAGCAAGCTACAGAAAACACTGCTTCCAATCAGATACTGTTCTTGAGCCAGGGGAATGCAGAAAAGGGTTGTGTGTCTGCAAGGGATGGGCAAGGAGGTCCCTTCTCTGCTTCACTCTGTTTTTGAGAAATATAACATCTCCTATCTTTGAAATTACTCCTCCATCACTTTAAATGGGATCACACTACTGATACAAAAACTGAGAGGAGCGCGGATTAGTTTGGGTAGGACTTTCCCCTGTAGTATGGCCACCTCCAAACACAGCAATATTGATGAAGATGTATCTGCTGAGTTTGGAAAAAGCCTTAGAACTGAACTGTGTGAGATTCTCTGGCAGGGTTATTTAGGTAGCTGGGATGCACACATTCACTGTCTGATCATACGGAATAATCGGAAGAATCCCAACAAAAACCATCTGCTTTTTCTTTTTTTTTTTTTTCTCTCTAAGAAGGGCAATGCAGGTTTTTCATTACTGTATGTAACATTACCCATCTGTGCTTATCCAGAGTCTGGTTTGGGTGTTTTGTTTATTTGTTGCCCTTTTTAACCTGGTCAGTGTAATCTGTGCTCTGACACCAGCACTTTAGCAAAGTACCAAATGCACACTCTCTCAAGTACTTACAGGCTGCAGCTCTGTTCTGTTTGGTACTCCAAAAAGGCTTTCACCAGTAATGATTCCTATAGCTAGCCAAGGCTGTGTGAAAGAAGCTTGCAGATGTAGAACCTGCAGTAATACCAAGACACTGCTGTTTTCATTCTCCAAACAAACACTAAAACCAGTTTCTAATGCTAAATTCACCTCTATTTCATATAAATGTTTTCAGTGTAATTAGAAGAGAATGCTTTTAACTTACCTATTTCTGTACAGGCTTCCTCTGAGCTATATAGATGTAGCTGACCATCCACTGGCACTTTATTAGCAGGGCTCTGTAATATGAGCTTATGCTGTAGCTCCTATTCTTTTCTCCATCACTGCATTCCCTGCTGTCTCAAACTACTTATAGTCCTTTCTGCCAGCTCTGGAGTTCCTGTTTTGAGGGAATTTGTGTTCACTCTCACTTGTCACACTGACAACAAAGATGAGCTTAATTTAAAAAAGCTGTTGCTAACTCGTGGAGCTGTGAAAAGTTACCCTGAAAAGGTGACATTAATCACTCTGAAACATCTATGTGCTACCTGCTGATCTCAGTGATGCTCTAGCTGTGAAATGTAACAGTGAACATTTATACATTGTTTTTTTAAACATAAATCCTACAGATTTGGGAATAAAATTTTTGCTCTTAAACTATCAAAGGACTTCAACACCTTTTCCAAGTAGCTGTTAATGATTCTAACCTAAGTATCCAGGTCATATAATTTCCAAATAATCCAGTTTCCAATTTTCTGATGTCTCTGTATGTTACCTGTGTAGAAAAGCACCCTTCCTTGTTATGAACTGCTGCCAGGTGAGCCAGCATCACTATGAGCCACCTGCAATGTCTGAACCTCCATTTTTTAAGCTCTCCATAATATAATCTCGAAAAATAATCGGCTGTCAGGGACAAATAATTATTTTCTTAATGTTTTCAGCGTGCTCAGGTACTTTTAATTCAATCAGAATCATATGTAACCACTTGGCTTTATTAAAATGGGGTTTGAGGCTCAATGCTCTCACCAGCCTTCCCTACTCATGCTGAAAGTCAGAGTTTGGCTGTATCGCTTACATCTCTGTGTTTACTGCCGGCTGCCAAGGGGGCATGATTCAGGCTGAGTCATTCCTCTGTTAAAATAAGGCTCGTTCCAATATTAACCTGGGCCCAAACAAACCTTCTGACACTGCCAGCAAAAGAAACAAGTCCACCCTCTTTGCAGTTTTCTGCAGTTTTAAAGCGAAACTGCTTTCCAACAGCACAGTTGTGACAATTTAGCATAATTTGGCTTCTCTCTATCAAGCTATGCTTGCTTCCTTACAACTGTACTACAGAAAAACTACAGAAAAACCCATAATAAGAGAATTTTTGCAGCAGGAATTTTAAAATAAAAATTCTAGTTAATAGTTTGATGCTTTTTTTGTGTTGCTGTTTGGTGGTGCAAATGAGAGGTTACATATCGTGCCACTTGCCTTGTGTCACACTTTTTACACCCTCAGCTCACTTACTTAATTCAAATATGTGTTAAGTGGAAAGGAGCAATGCTTTATAGCACATGTTCAAAACATGGGGAAAAATAATGCCTTTTACCTTCAGTCAGCAAAATCCCCACTGCTCCCTGCAGACCTTTGGAAGGTTCTCCTTTTTTCTTCACCAAAACAAACTCCTGTTGTAGTCCCTTAAGGTTTACAGACTCTTGCAGGAAACTACCACCACCGCTGTAACCGTGCAGGTAATTACCATCAGAGAAGTCCTTCTGTCTTGTCATATGCTGTGTGAGAGGCACTGCTATCCACATCTGACCCAATTACCAAATATTCATGTAACCCTGTCCACTTTTGGGGTGACAGAGGTCTGAATGACTGCACTGCAGCTCTTTGTAGCAGCTCAGAACGTGCCCTGTCCTGGGACTGATGAGCCACACAGGTGGCACACGATACCTGCTAAGCAAATCTAATTGGTCTCACTCAGGAGTTTTGGCACTGTTTAAGAGTAAACGACAATTTGGAGGCAAAAGGAATCTGGATACCAAAACACTTTAATCAAATACGTAGCAATATTATGTACCACACCACTGCCCTGGCACACAGGAGAGATGGCACAGTCCAGGGGAGGCAGCGCAGCAATGCCAGCAGGGCAGCACACGGTTCTGGTGTCCTCTGGGCTCTTCCCCCTTCCCCAGTGGTGGAGATGATCCCGGATCCCCACCAGAGCCTTCTTCATGCTGTGGTTGCCTGCAGCCCTCACAAGCACCTTTAGAGCTGAGACCATCTCCCAGAAATGAGCTCCTTTAAACTGCACTCATTTTCTGCTTCGTCGTGCCTTGGCTGAGGCTCATGAGCTGCTTCTTTGGGCACTTCTGGATGTGCCTGCACTCCTAATCCAGATGTGTGGTTGATTATAATTCCTTTACTTCCACTGCAGCAAGAAGTCGGTTGAAGTTGACAGGCTTACATTAGCAGCTGTGCTGGAGACTACACCAAACTCATGGAGCTCGTGGTAACTACTACAGAAGTCCTGTCTGTATTACAGAAACTGTCAAATATGTGGTGCTAGATGGTGGGAAAGGCCAAGCGTGACGTTCCTGTTATACTGAAAAGAGAAAACACATCTCCCTGTCCACTGATACACTCTCTATCTATCCACTGATACATCTCCCTGTACACTGATTTGCCAACTTTTTCTTCCAAATGCAGTAACTAAAGCTGTTCCAAGTCACACCAACAGTTACTGATCTCCTGTCCCTGGCAAGAAGGCCACATGGGGTTCACATCCTCTGTCTCTGAGTTAAGAAGCATCACCACCAACAGAGCCATGGGAAAGCACGGCCTGTGCTCTGCACCCAGTGACAGCAGCTCTGCTCTCAGGACAGGCAAACCTCTCTCTGCTCTTGAGGCCTCTGCCAGTGCCAAACAGCATGCAGACATTGACTGCAAGTGGCCGAGTGAAGCCTTGGCTCTTACCTGGACAGCAAAAGACATACTGTTGTACAATATACAGCCAAGCACTTTCCTCTTCCTAAACTGAGAACAGGGCAGATGCTCAATGAGGGATTTCAAAGCATGATGAAACGGTCCAAAACAAATCCTACTTTCTTGTCATTCTGTTGCCAAGTAAAGTAAAAGGGAAGAAGGAATTTATAAGCGAGCAGATGTATTATGAGCTATGCTGATAATATGATGAAAGTACCTATGTGAACTGTGAAACACTACCTTCAGCTGCAGCACTCAAAGTAGATGACTGATGTAAAAGCTTCAGCTCACAACACATGCAATAGCCCAAGTCGTTGGGCTTGAGACAAAACGAACATCACCAGATCTTGTGTGGCCCAGAATTTCTTATTAAAAACAAAAACTTTCTTAAAGATACCAGGGAGAGTCTTTTTTTTTTTTTTTGTACTGTGAATTTAAAAGTTTATAACAGGGAAGATGGTGCTACAAGAGAACCTAAAAGGAACACTAAGCAGTCCACTCTGATTGTGTAAACGTTTGTACACAAAGGCTAAGAGTGCTGGTAGACACGACGTATCGGGTATTGTTCTAAATCGAATATTTAAGATGACTGAAAGTAGTTCAAGATAATGAATTGAGTTCAGCTTCAAAGCTGAGAGCACTGAGAGCACCTCACCAGGTCGGAGCTTTTTTCTCTGAGAACAGAAGGCCAGGTGCAATTACATAACGTTGTCTTTATTTAATGAGCACTTTCTTGTTTGGTTGGCTTTTTTTCCTAAAGATTTCTTGGAGTTTTACCCGGTAAAAGATTCAGTTCTGTAAATAGGACCCAAGTCTGGGCAGGCTGTGCATCACTCTTAAACCCACGGAATGGTGGATTTCCTGCACCAGTATTTCAGCACACGCCGGTAGTTCTTCTGGCCTGTTTTGCACACATAAATAGAGCACAAAGTATTGCTTCTGCACGGTGATTGCTCGGCCTCTGACTGCCACTTGTGCAAACTGTTCTCATTTTAGAAAAAAGAAAGGCTTCCTTCAACTGCAGAACTCCATTCAGTGTCATTTCCCTGCAATTTCAGCACGTGCAGGAGGCTACACAAAAGGCAAGTCTTCCTCATAGCTATTACATTCAACTGTTCCAACTATAGGATTGGATAATGCTAGGAAAATGGTGTTTATGCACTTCCCAAAGGGAAGTGCTCTGACTGCAGGATGTTGGCTCTTCAGGACGAAGCAGCTCACCGAGGCACTGCAAACACACTCACGCCTGGTTTGCTTTAGTTGAACCAAGATGAATGAGAGTCATAACAGTAGTGTAACCATGAAGCAGGTCGTCCTTTACATCGTTACATTCTCTCAGTACGAAATTCCCAGTAACTATCCGGTCACATCCTATTTCCCCGTGTCCAAAAAAGCCAAAGAGGGGAACATTTGGAAAAAACTTCCTAAAGGCATCCGCCTCCATGTTCTGTTTGGTTTTGTAATGCCGATACCCTCGGCCAACGCACGCAAACATGAAGCCGATGGTGTTACACTCGGGGATGTTTGCTGCCTTGAGGCGCTGCATGGCGGCTTCCGCTGTCCTCTCATCAGCGACGTCCTGGTCTAACAGAACCGTGGCGCTCTGGATCTGGGGCCCGCTGAAAGCCAGCCCGACCACCCCGCAGGCATCGCTGGGCTGGGCGCTATTACTGAAAGGCAACAGGCCTCCGTTAGAGAGCAGCCCAGCGCGACCAGGCCTGAACTGCTCTGCTGCAGCACAAGCGGGCTGCCAGACAGACCAGCATCCTGGGGGTTTTGAAAGCCACCGTAGTTAAAAACTAAACACGCTCTTCCAGATTTCCTTTTTCCCCCTCTTTTTCCAGTAACCTTTCCTGATGAAAACCTTTCACATCCATTACCCAGGATTAATCATAAGCCTGTCTTTCAAACTCTTGCCAAATTCAGCAGTTGGGGCACAGCACAGCTCTGCAATTCCAGCTGAACCGTAAGTTAAACTTAACCAAAGATAAGCAGCAGTTCGTGTATGAAACCAGGGCAGCAGTCTAGAAGCTGTTCCAGACTTCAGATCCCTGTTGCTACAGGTCTGTGCTCGTTGGTTGGCCAGATTCACATTGGTTTCAGTGGTTACCTATTCTTGTTATCTTAGTAATAGTTTAATAGAGACAGCTCTCTGATCTGGAATAATGGTGCAGATGGCATAAATCAGATGCAAAAAAAAAACACCCAAAAAACAACTCCTATCACTATGGAGTCCAGACCAACACTGTATGAGAGGAGCCTGCAGCCATGTCTGCAGCACTCTCCCCAGCACAGGATGCTCCTGGATGCACTAGCAAATCAGCAGAGCACTTGGAGCAAGGAAGCCCCTGCAGGGCTCTTGGTGGAAGGATTGGGGCTCAGTGGGTCAGATCCAGCCCAGCCCTTGGAGTGCAACATCCTTGTGGAGCTGCTTGTGCTCACAGGGCACAGCTGAGGTTGCATATTCAGCTCTGTAATGTGCCCCAAAACAAGACTGACATAAAACCAGAACAGTCACACAAATGGTCTCTGCTATTTGAGTGATAATTTACCTGAAAGCCAGAGAGCAAGCACACAAATAAACAAATGTAGGGTTTCTGAAGCTGGAAGTCCTCAGTTGTTCTCCTAGCTGGGTTTCCAGAACCCAGTGTGTAACACTCATACAAAGCTTCCAGCTTTTCCTGCTGGATCACAGTGCAGAGGTTGGGTTTTGTTCTTTTAAACAAAATGTAACACTTTACAACTCTTGATTGGCATATGGCAAAAATAATTAAAATGTTACAGCTTCTGCAACGTATTTCCCCTGTTAAATATCTTTCACAATTTACCTTGAAAAATATACCTACTTCTCAGAGATCAGCGATGTAAAGCTCTCCACTTGTCCCCCAGCTAGGATGATACTTTTTTCATTCAAAGGATTGACTATTTGATGAAGAAAACGAGTGGCTCCAGACTTCCAGGAGTTGTAGCCAAACAAAAGAACCACACGAAGATCCGGATTATTCTTCAGGCCTACAAAAACAAGAACTTCAGTCCCCTTATTTTGACTTCCCCCGAAGCCTAAGAGTTCTACATACACTCTTCACTCCCTCCTTAAATAACACCTAATGCCTCCAGCATGGACTTTCTGTTGCTACAAGTGAAAAACAAGGCACAAGGCAGCCATGTATTCATGAGTAAATTGTATCTGCTTCCTCCTGCTTTCAGCTTCTTTCCCAGAGGGCAGTCTCAATTATCTTCTTACAGATTCCAACTGAGCACACATGTTATCCAAGAACCACAATGGAGTAAACAGCTTTGCTTGAAAAATTAAGAACTATTAAAACGTGTGCATCAGCCTGTTGCTTATCCCAAGAAAGAAACTTCCAAGTTCCAGGAAGACTCACAGAAAGGCCCACTTGCTCTCAGATTACTCTTCGCAAATGCAAGGTGAGGAATGTAAACTGTACTAAAATAGATGGTTTTCTTTATACCTTTCTTTTTACAACACCTGACCTAGCATCTGAAAACAAAGTTACTTTATGGAAGTAAAGCAGCAGCTCCTTCCCACTCCTTTCTGAACAGAGGTGGCCAGAATAACTCCCAATGGCACAAAACTCATTTACTGTTACTTTTAAACAATTCCTGGCTTGCTTCAAACTTAACAGCTTCCTCTTAGCAGCTCTGCTTGCAACACAAATGAAGAAGTTTGAGACAAACTCAGGTTAACAACCTCAGCACTCCTGATGATGGGTATAAAGAGATGGGTGGTTACCAGAGCAGCCCTGCAGAGCCTCAATGCTCTGTTAACACACCACAGGAGCTGCTGGTCCCACATGCAGTTTCACACTGGAGCCTCAAAGAGCAGCAAAACACTTGACAAAAGCCCAGGTCAAAGGGAGAACAAGGACGCACCTGCTGCGGCAAATTTGTTTTCGTCAATGACTCTGTTCTTTACTTCTTTAGGAAAATGGAAGGTTTGGATTTTAACCCCATCAATTTTGGGAAACAAAAGAGCAAATCCAGCTTCACCATCTTCAATTTCTTGAGGCTGATTGCTGCTTGAACCCATGGGGGTAACTACAATGACACGCAAACACAAAGATTAGTGATTCTGACACTTCTGTCTGCAACTCAGGCTAAAAGAGGCAGAGCAGCATATGCAGTACAGACAGAATGCATGACAGCTCCTTCCCATCACAACACACCTAATTGATAACCGGTGTGAATTTTTTTTGCTGCTGTTGTGAAAGGTGAAACGCATAAGATTTCCACTGTCCAGAAACAATGCTAAAGTCACTTTGCATGAGACACAGACATATACAGAAATCTTCCTTACTCTAAATGCAACGACTCAAACAGCCTTCTGTAGGCACAGAATCAATGTTTATGGCTCTTAGTGCCTTCACACAGGTGTTCATGGAGCCCCATGCTCCTTCATGCTATAGACCTGCTCTTATTGGTCATGGCTGCGGTGACAGAGACTGGAAGCAAACGCTCAGCAATCACCTGGAAAACATTGTAACATCTAAAAGCTTCTGCTGAGATGCACGGCACGAGTTATGCCCTGAAATCACAGAAACGAGCAGAAAGGTTTCCTCTTTGTTTACTGTGGAATGAGAACTGAAGTTGAGAGGGAAGGCACAAACGCACTAACAGCAGGGAGCGCAGCACACAAAGGAGGCTCCTACCTACGATCCCCGGGGTGAGCAGTCCAAGGACCTGACATCGCTTTGGCAACAGTTTCTCAATCGCAACGGCTGTTTCTTTACTGTTTCTTTTTCTGGCTATTGAAAAGGAAACAAAAACGGCAAAGAGAAGCGGACCTGACAGACAGAAACCGGCAGCCAATCCCTTCTCACCCCACGGCCGTTACCGACACAAGAGCCCCGCGCCGCCAACAGCTCAGGGTAAAGCGCCTCGCTTCCACATACCGCAGCCGCGTTTTTACATTCAGACTCGCAGCGCTCCGCCCAGCGGTCCCTCCCCCGCCCGCAGCCCCGGCGATTCCGCGCCCCGCGGGTACCTTTCTTGTGCTCGTGGCACTCCTCGTGCCCGCTGAACGTCTCCGCGTCGGCGATGTAGAGCACCGTCTGGGGCAGGACGTGCACCTTCTGCAAGAAGATGCGAGACGCGAGCGCGCTGGTAACGCCGGCCCGGTACCGGCACCGCCCGGCACCGCGAGGCGCGAACCGGGACCGTGGGGTCGGGGGGGGTGAAGTGGCCCCACAGCGCACGCGGACCCACCTCGAGCTCTCGCTCCAAGGCCTGCACCAGTGCGTGTCCGCCGGGCGGGCCGGGCTCCAGCGCCGACACCCAAGCGAGGCGCTGCCGCGTGCGCAGGATCCGCCGCGCGCACTCCCTCCACAGCCGGCACACGCTGCAACACAGCCGGCCCGCCCCGCCCACGTTACCTCAGAAACGGCGTCGACGTCCGCCCGCCGCCCCCCCGGCTCCCCCCGGCGCTTACCAGGCGGCGCGCAGCAGCGCCTTCGTGGGCAGGAAGCCGAGCACGCGCTCCACCACCTCGGCCAGGTTGCCGAGAACGAGGCCGCCCTTCCCCGGCGCCTCCATGGCCGCAGAGCCGCGCCCTTCCCCGCCGCCGACACCCCCCGGCGCCGACGCGCTTCCGGTTCCGGCGGCGGCACTTCCGCTCTCGGCACTTCCGCCCGCATCCCTTCCGGCCCCGCCCCGGAAGCGGCACGGCACAGCGATTCTCAAAACGGCCTTTATTCAACTTGATGCAAGTTTACAAATCGCGGCGCGCCCGCCGGGCGAGAGGGGGGGAAGCGGCGGCGGCGGCCTCGGGCCCGGGGCGGCGGCTGCAGGCACAGCCGGGCCGCGGGGGCACAGCCAGAAGGGCTCAGCGAGGCGCGAGGCCCCGCGATTGCCGCGGGAGGCGCCGTCCGTCCTCCGCTGCGGCGCTGCTCGGCCTCCGACTGCCCGCGGAGCTTCTACGGAAAAGAATTCACTCCCGGAGTCCGCCTCGCTTTGTGCCAATCGCTCGCTGTATCAGTTCGTTAGTTTACAAATGATTGCAACAACCCGTTAATAAAATGGAACGCCTAAAAAGGTTTTGTTTTGTTTTTTTTTTAGTACTTTAAATAACTTCGAGCCTCAGCAGAGGGAGCCGCCCGCAGCAGCGGAGCACGGCGGAGCTGATGGGCTGCAGCGGCACCGCCTGCACTGCTCAGAGAGGAGGAGGGCAAAACCATCTGACCGTGAGCATCTCTTCCAAAAAATAGTTCGTATTCTCATCCAGCCATGAAAATGTTTAATGACTTAACATACATGTGCTTTTCCTATATCATTAATTTGGAAATACTACAAACGCTGTCATTTTAGACCAGAAAACTACTGTGATTTGCAAGGTCTGACATTTCCTATAACAGTATTAAACAACATATTAAACCTCCTGACTTCAAATGGAACGACACAACTCAAATCTCGGCGCTCTGCATCCTGCGAAAGGTAAGAAGTGTGACCAACTCCTGCTGAACGCTCCTGGGGAACGCAGCAGCCCACTGCAGCATTACACTTCCAAATTAAAAAAGAGAGAAGGGAGGGAGTGGCCCAAATATGCTTAATCCATGAAGAACAAATACAGCAAAGGCCCAGACTGCTCAGTCCAAGATGCCTAAGAAGAGCGGAATGGTAAGGCTGCAACTTATACTCGACGTGTCAGTTGACAGATTATCCACTAACTTATCTAATAGCTAAAGTCTTCAGTACGGCTGTTATAGGGGCACTCATAGCTCGAGTCTCTGTGTTGGAAAACGTTAAAAAGAGCTCTTTTGTTGGCATTGGTCCAGATATACAACAGTCCTCTGTATTAACCGTCTTCTTTTGGAGGAGTGTACCAGCCTATGGAGAACAGAGAAACGCATTAGGCACTGCCCTGGCTCTGCTCAGAGGAGCTTACCAGCTGCCTTCTGAATGGGTGGCAGAAATGTCAGGTGAGTAACTCAGGCTCCTGATAGCATTTGGCATGTTGAATCATATCGGATCAAGTGTACATGGCCTTTTCTGACCGCCTCCAGATCTCCAACCTCAAGTCTCCCAGCCACTATAGTAAAAATTCCTCTTGGTTTTAGTACAGTGAGTAGAGGCCCTGCTTATATTGTCCTAGAGAACTGGTAGGAGCAGTAAGCTAACAAAGATGCCTTTTGCAGCAGCAATAAATGCTGTGAACGTTTTGCGTACAGCTCCTGTTGCAGTAGCAAACACTGCAGTTGTGGTCAGCGTGCAGCTAGAAGTCAACAGCCATGCTGGCTTTTGTTGCAAACTAAAAAAGCAAGGGATTCAGTTAATGGCAAGATCAACACGTCATGAAGTTGGAAAGCATCTTAAAATCTTCTGTGATCTTCTTCCTAGCAGTCCAGAAGGCACTGTTTGTTTTAGAAGTGGGAAAACCGAGGTGCTCATCACACCAAAATACACTCACATCGTGTTCACAGCAACACCAGTTCCCAAAGGACACTAATCTCTGAAGGCAGAGCTGGGACTAATTCCCTCATCAGGAGAGCAGGGCACCAACTCTGCTGACTGCTTTTGAACAGCACATAACTCATTCAAACCATCTAAAGCCTCAGGTCATCTCTGGCCTGCCGTAACAAATGCAATTATACCTCAAGCATGTTAATATTTGCTTTAAGCAGCCACGAGAACATAACTGGCTTTAAACAGAAGAAAAAAAATCTCCCATTCCCCAGCCAGCCCATCTCACTTGGACTTCCACTTTTTGAAGTGGAAAGACAAGCCAGCAACCATCTTCACTGGTTACTATTTCTCAGCGCTTGCCACATGAAAACAAAGAGGCAGACGCTTCACTAACACATACACTCCAATAGCTACAGTAACAACAAAGCTACTAGGTCAGCTAGTTGAAAAGGAAGCTCAACTCCTTTTTGAAAAGCAATAGGAACGTACAGAACATGTAAGCTGGAGAAGTTGCAAAGATGATTGGTCAAGTTACTTTAATTAGAAAGACTACAAGCCCTTAAAGATGAGAAGCAGAAACACCATCTCCCACCTTCCCAACCCAACCTAAGGCATTCCAGCACCTAGGTTTGGTAGTTTGATTGCTGCCGAATATCAAAATCCTAGGATGCTCTGCATACAAGAACAGAAATGCAAGGCATACATACCATTTTTCTCATGTATTTGTACTAGTGACTTATAGGACTGCTGTGCTCTTGCTAGGTTATATTGATTCTGAAAGGAAAAAAATCCAAACAACCCTTGAATCAGCACTTAAAACACCAGCAAGAGAGTCAATTTCACTGACATATTTACACCTCTTTTCAAAACAGCATTTAGAACTCCAGAGCAAGTTGCAATCTGTTAGCAACACACACACTTGAACTGAATTATGATTTAGATCAATTTTGAAGGGCTCAAGTTCAGGAGTATTTGCATGGCAGTATTTTTCATCCTCTCAGGAAAACTGGCAGGCACTTAATCCAACGAAGGAGAACTTCTTAACATCAGCATACACAAACCTGGCAGCAAGGCTGTCTGTAGCCCTTCTCACAGCCAGGATTCCCAAATCTTTCTGGTTTCCAATTCTGAATTCAGCCTTCTCTTCCCCAGGTACACATCTACTCAAATGCCCTGCCCAGCCAACGCTTGTCCTCCTCAAATGTTTATCTTTCTTTAAAATCATAGTTAACAGCCAAGAAAATGATCACACATGCACCAAACACGTGTGACAGACAAATCAAAATGCAGACATATTTGCAATGACAATTCTGTCATGAAACATTTCCTACACAAGTCAGCAAAGCAATGGAAGAAGCCTAACAACGATCTGTGCAATTGATACGTGCAGTGCATTTACCTTATTGGCTCCAAACTGAACTCTGGCTTTTCCTTTGACTAAAGTGGCATTGATCTGCATGATGACTGATTCTATTGAATAGGCACTGCTCCAGCCCTGCAGGAGGAAGAAAATAAATGACATATATACTTGCTTCTTGTGCTCATTTTGCAAATCTGCTTTGGAAGGCATGTTTTGTATGGAAATTATTCCACACAGAAAATCAAGGCTACTACCCTCAAGTGCCCTTCTACTGAAAAGTGCACCCTTCACTGTTAGTTGTGGCACTTCTGTAGTGAGAAGAAGAGTTGGCATTCACCTGTTTAGTAAGAAGTTCCATGCATAATGCACCTCCACCTAGGACGTATCTGGAAATAAACGTGAGAAGAAAATGATATCAAATATCAATTGGTAAGATACAAAACCATTCACAGCACAAATTCTCTCAGGCCAATTGGATTTTTCCACATACAACTGAGATGCCCTTCAGCCATAACCTACAATGGCAGCTAGTTAGCCATGGCATAGGGAAGGTCAATTAGTGCAACGAGACAAAAGAAACTGCTTTCCTAGGCCACATACACAGTTAAAATCAGCAATGCAGCTATTCTGCACAATTGCTTACACAGTAGCCAGACCATGAAAGAGGAGTGCTGCGTTTTGTCACCACACTATGGATGTGCTGATGCAGTTAAAATCCACACCACTTCTGTTAGGGATATCGACACAATTTCAAACAATGTAAGTGCAACTATTCACCAAGATTTAGTTGCAAACAAGCTAAAGTTAATCTTCACTTGCTCTTTTCCCTCTAAAACATACTTCAATTTCAGTAACACTTCATCATGTCGTGTGGTTACAGAATTCAGCAGTCATTCATATAGCATTCAGCACAGCGTGCCTGGCTGTAACAACACCTGACTGAGGAGGCTGAATTTACCACTCCTAAAAGGTGGTCTCTGCTATGATCAGTGCATTTGAACAACGTCCATTTGTATGTAATTTATAAGGAAATAAAAAGAAGAGCAATTAAAACCAAATCAAAACCACCACCAGCTGTGAGAGTAGAGGCTGCATTGCAGGAGACACTGCACACAATGTTTCAACCAAGGTTTAGATAACTTGGAGCACAGTGCCAATTAAATACTTTAATACTTTCAGTTTAGCATTTGAGGAGTTTTTAGCCATAAGTTTACAGCAGTGTTACCAACACAGACAAGAAAGACCCCTTCAAAGCAACAACACAAAACCACTGCTATGTGGAACAACAGGAGAAGTAAGATTGTGTTAAAAATTTCAGAGATCAGCTCTCAAATACTATGGCTGATGGAGAATTCCAATGCTGGACTCAACTTCAGCAATTCTAAGCTTAAAATTCAAATTAAGGAATTGCATCAAGCTGGAAAACCACTCAGCTGTTTGCCCACTGTTTATGCTACTTGAGAAGCACAACTCCTTATCATGCTGAGCCTTTCACCAAACTCAAGGTCTATAGCAGCTCATGGCTGCTATTTTGGGAAAATATCTCTAAGTCCACCTGCTGGTCTCAAAACGTTCCATGCAAACCCAGACAACCAATCTCAAGTAATAATGTTTTATCACAAAGTAAGAATTCTATAAAGCAACTCCAACTTACCCTCCTGTGAGCACAGGAGATACTACTCTCACAAAGGGAGGATCAAAAGGGAAGTTATCCTGAAATACATAAACAAAGAACAGGTTAAAAACTATGCTGTAACACAGTTTTTTTTTCCCTAACCAGGAACTATTTCTGTAGCCTAATTTGGCAAATCAGATTTAAAGCAGTAACATTTTTCACTTCTGTAAAAACCACCTTTCCACAGTGCTGGCTCACAAGAAGCCTGTGGGAAGTTTTAGTGCCACACTGATAGCTACTTTTTTTTTTTCCTCCTTAAATGTTACACTTTACTTTACTCTACCTTCACCCACATAACAGCTGAGGGTACCTTAGTCAGTTTCTACAGTTGGCTACAAGTTGAACCCCTGCATTTCTTCCCATAGACACATACCTTAAAAGAGAAGTTGAGTAAAATGTATTCCACGCCTTCTTTTTCTTTCAAGACCTGAAGATCACTATGCAGGGGGCTGTCAGGATCAACCCTATAAAAGGAGCAGGGTGAATCCTGGATTAAGTCAGTATTTTCACTACCTGTAAATAGTAATCACTCTTAGCTCCTTCATGCATTTATAGATTACAAATGGTAATTTGAAATTTAACACAAGAAAACGTTTGCTCTCTTGAACAAGAAACACTTTCCCATGAGATCTCCATGAAAGCTTGTTGCAGTGCATTACACTCCCACCACTATCAAATGTTATTTGAACACGGATAGCAAATAAGCTTTTATTTGAAAATCAGTCATTTTAACTCTCTTCAGCTCGCTGAAGATCTATGTCCTGTTAGAAGAAATGCGTGAAGAGAAAGGCTGCACTGATCTGCCTTCAGCACAGTGAGCCCTTCATGAGCACACGACTGCAGCTCTGTACCACATGTTAAACGTGATCTGCATCTGCGAAAGCACTGAAGTCAGCAGTGTCTGCTCTCAGCAGAATTCCATCACTTGTTGCAAAATACTGGTGGCAAGCACTCTGGGTGTTCATTCAGACACTGCGGGATTAATCCAACCCAAGCACTGCCACCCCAGAAGTTTTGAAAGAGACTTGTCAAAAATAAGGCTGTAAACAAGACAACAGATGTTGTTAAAGGGACTATAAGAGTCCAACCCTCTAATTCATACGAAGCCACAAACTTGAGAACCCATTTCAAAGTTACCTGAGCCCTACATCTCTATCTCACAAATCAAAAGCTATTTCAGAGAAAAAAAATATAAGTCTTTCAGTGCTGAGCAACCCACCAATTCCAGCCATAACCAGCACCAGACCAGTTCAGAATTACTTGTTCCAGTAACAACAACATTCTGCCTGCAAAAGAGTTCATCTCTGTGACATTTACACCCTGTGACATTTACACACTGTGTGCACACACAGGTCATTTGATTACCAACACTTTTTGCTGGAACGAATAAACACAATTCTTTATGCCTTCACAGAATGGATTGCCTTGGAAGAGAGAGCCCTTAAAGTCCACCCAGTTCCATCCCCAGCTATGGGCAGGGACACCTTCCACCACTATCAGGTTAAGCAAAGCCCCACCCAGCCTGGCCTTCAGCACCTCCAGGGATGGGACACACAAAGCTTTCCTGCACAGCCTGTGCCAGGGCCTCATCTCCCTCTGAGTAAAGAATCCCTTCTCCACATCTAATCTGCATCTCCTCTCTTTCAGTTTAAAGCCATGCCCCGGATCTCTTCTCCTAGTCATTCTGGAAGTCATCTCTTGCATGCATTCCATTGCTTCTCCCTCCTCAGAAAACCAAACCTGCTCACAGTACTTGAGAAGAAATTTCATGCACTGCACATTATTTGGCTGTCTAAGCACTCCATCAAGAGGTCCTTCTGTAACAAGGGAATGATTTATTTTCCTGCTAGTTTCAGCTTCAAAATGTTCACATGCTTTTGATGACACTAAGATGGAAATAAAACTCAGCAGCTGGTGACAAAGTCATAGAGATTTTACCACCAAGACAAGGCAACAATTCCTAGAGACACATCAGCTATTTTGCTGACCAAACTTAAGTCTCTGTATCTGTGCACCATGATGTAGCTGAACTAGAGAAGTTTTTCCCATCTCTTCTCCTTTTGCAGCCACCAAACCTGGTTTTCATAGGCTTTTCCTTCCTACTGGTTACCTTGTAGGATGATGGCAGATAATCCTGTTACTGGAACTACATTCAGTATAATGCCTTTAGAATTAAAGTATTATACTTTGGACACAGCAATATATGAGCAGTCACTTTCTTCTAAGTTGGTTTGGAGATCATCCATATCCAGTACAAACAAGTGAAAAGCAGTATATTAGAAAAAACAATCATGTAATAAATCATCATTATGTTACACCTCAAGATTCCAGTCCTACGAGCCTGCTAAACTAATCCCACTAAAACAGTTCCTTCTTATGTCTTAAAGGAAACCAGCATTTGTATTTTCTTGAAATTAAAAACAAACAAGTCCACCCAGACAAAACTTCTGGACAACTGATTTCATCATTTGACATTTCATATTTTGGAGCAGCTTTGGAAGGAAGGTGGAAAAGTAATAAAAGTTGTGCTAATACAGAGAGTTGGCTGTGCAAGGACTGAGGGGTTTTTTTTTTGCATTTTTTGTTACCTGCTTTTTTACTATAGTTCAATATCTGTATGCATTTCCATCTGGCCAAGTTGTAGCCACACATTATTTTATAGGTTCTGACTAGAGTTTCTCATTCCAAAGCAGATTTTGTGCAGCAATTTTAGTAGATTCTTCAGAAAAATGAAAGAAGTTTAAGAACTTACTTCAGAAGCTTAACATGCCATTCATACAAGCTGTCATTTACCAGTTCCACTGAATATATCCCTGTGGAAATATTAGATAGAATTAGCTATGCACTACAATTTTTAAAAGGCAAAATGTAGTATAAGCTCATTCTTTAAGTACAAATACTGTCAGTAGATGTAAGCAATGAGTAAGATACTGAGTCACATCTTTTCCTCAATAGTAGAAGCACTACTGAGCAGCCACAAAGGAAGAGTTCTTTCACTTCTATATGGAAAAGAAAAAAAAATACACCTGCTCAAGTAGACATACTTCTCTGGCTCCAAAACCATTTCCCCTCAATCCAGTTTCCTTCCAAACTTTCCATAGCTGTAGGACTCCAGCTTGTTTAGAACCCAGTTTATTTTAATCCTAGTACACAACCAACACGCTTTTTAAAAACACTTATCACAGAGCTCAAGCATGCAGCATTATATTTCACAGGTTCTCTTAACAGCACTGGCAAATAGGGACAGCACCCCAGCCAGTGTATGGAGTGGAAACCCAAGAAGATGACATTGCACTGGATGAAGCACACTCCCAACTGAGCAGTGAGAAAACATGAAAGATGCATCAAAAGAACGGCTGCCCTACTGCCACCCAGAACTCATGTGCTGCTCCTCCAACTCTGCTGGTTACCATGGACTGGAACCACAGGAGTAACCTGTGCTGGTCGTAAAGAGCTGCACTGTACCAAATCAGCAGCTGTAAAATGGTTCTTTAAAGACGTGCACAGCTCAGGACAGACGTGAAGATGGTACCAAGAGAAAGATTAGCGACTTGGCCAACCTTTTAATCATCCAGATTAGGAGCTAAGTAGTGTTTGTGTGTGCTCACGAACAGCAACAGTGACACAGTTGCTCACTGCTTTCATACAGGGGACTTTAAACAGCACTACCTACAGTTGAGTTTTGTTGTCATTATTTTGTTTTAAATAGTCAAGATCTGTTATTTGCAACCAGCTCAGATACTTTGTTTTTTTTTTTCAGTTGAGGCAGTAAGAGGGAAAAAAATTACTCAAGATCAATTAATCTAACCTGATTAACTTCTACATACTGGTTTCTGATAGTTCCTCAAATAGAAGAAGGAATCAAGATGGATTCCCCTCACTTAGAGATGTTTGTTTATTCCACTAAGAAGCTATCCATATCCATAGAGGCAATGAAGTAAAAAAGCAAGCACAAAGACCCATGAAGCAAGCCAGAAGTGAGGAGACCAGAAAGTAATAAGAAAAACAGCCTCTCTGAAAGCAGGCCATTTCTTGCTTACAGCACCTGACTAACTCCAGGTAAATCCCACACAATCTCTGGATAAAAGCAATTATATGAACAACAAAACCACTAAAGACATCAACAGAAATTATTTCACTTAATTATAAACAAAGTGTGCTTCCTTCTCCCTTCCCCATCCTCACAAAATTATTTGATACCTTTAAAAATTTTTTCTCTGTGAACTCACCAAATCCCCAATTTTGCATTTAGAAACAAGAGAATTCTTGGGGGACTTATGACTCCTGTTATCCAAAAGATTAATGACACTGTCTGAAATACAGCTGAGTGTTTTAATTTGCTGGATTTATTTATTTGTTTTGCTAATGTTTAGTTTAAATTATGGGGAAAATGACCACTGAAACAAGTACTCAGAACCAAGATCACATTATCTAATCATGCCCCTGCTAAGATGGTCACAGCTATCTCACAACAGAACACAGAACAAGGCTATAAAAACAGGAGTTACGCACAAAAGAAGAAACTGACACTTAAATTCACAGGAGCCCCACAACTAAGAGAAGCCACAAGGAAGGAATCCAGGTGTGTTTTATAACAAACAGCATCATTTACTGAAAAAATTAATAAATGGATTAAGTAGGACAGTGATTGTGCTTTGAAACACCATCAGCTTTATAGTATCAGCCTCCACTTCAGTTAGTTATTTCCAGTTTGCTCAGGGAAACAAATATTCTTATCAGGCACTTATTTATACAGGGAGATTTGAAGAGCAGGAGGAGTTGCACAACTTCAGGCAAACAAGACAGCTCCTTGACTGGGACACAGTGCAGTTACAAGATATTCTTACTTGGTTCTGTTCAGACTGCTAGAGAAGTGGTATGGAATTACACTGTTAGAGAAAAGAGTATGTCATTTAGCTGCACAGATTTCTGCCAGAGAGGGCAGTAATGCCTCTTGCCATAAATAACGTCACAACCTCCTATAGAATAGAATATTAGAATTAAAGAAATAGTTGAAGTAGTGATTCAAAAACACCACACAGGGTGTTTGAAGGATCCTTTATACTGGTAATGTGTCAGTTTAGAATGCTTTGGTAATTTCTTGAACCTGGGAATTCTCCCACTGGACTTCCACAGCTTCTAGAGATTCACACAGTGTTCAGCTGCAATCTTTGTAGACATTCCTAAGTCATGAACCAACGAGCTACTGAACTCATCCTTCAGTGCATCAACTTTCTTTTCTTGCACTTATTCACAGCCAGGCTAGATGGGGCCCTGAGCAACTTGATATGTAGGGAGGCAACCCCGTCCACATCACAGGGGCTGGAACTAGGTGATGTTTAGAGGCCCTGTCCAAATGAAGCCATTCTGCGACTACAGGGGCTCCTGGCTGCCCCTCCAGCAGTATCTATGCTATTAAGGGCCACACAGTTTTTCCACAGTCAGACTTCTTATACACCATCTTTCTTGTGCCCCTAAAAGCAACCTCTGAAGACCACACACAGGCAGTAAAGTGTCCCCCACAGTTTAGTGAAGAACCATTTCTAGGCTCTTCCTAACCCTTTTAATCCACTCTCTACTGGATAGACAGTGATTAGGTTTACTGGCAAGCCGTTGTGATCAAACCTGACAGCATTAGGCTACATTAGATCAACAGGAGGTTACTACTGTGTTTAGAGCTCGGACATTTTACCACCAGCTACAGTACCTTAGCACCTAAAGCTGTTTATATAAGAAGTGAACATCACTGATCAAAACAGAGGCCTACTACCTCTTCAAATCTGTCCTTACATATACACATTAAAGAACTACGTACACATTTGGTGGCACTTTAATGGTTAGGGAAGCAAATCAGATAAATAGAAGATAAAGGATTCAAGTTTAGGCTGACTTTCTAATCCAGCATTCCTCCTGTTCTCATCCTGCTCTGCACCAGATGCCTCTCATTCTTGGCTGCTGTGATGGAACTCGCTATTGAACTGACCTACAGGAACACAACTTGATTGAAATGCATCTAAGTTCTGCTTACTGTACAATAATATGCAGATAATTCAATATGCAGTTTCCTTTGCTGAGCTAATTTAGACAAAGCCCGTATGTAGAGCAATGAGAACAGCCAACCACCTACGTAAAAGCTAATCAATGCTTCTTATCCAAACAAACTTAAAGACAAAATTTTCTCTTCATTTGTATCCCTACTTCAAAGAACATATGGAGGTCAGGATCAGATAAACACAGATCACAAAATAATAGAACTAACAGGAGCATAATTAAAATTAAACACTGTGTAATAACAAAGCCTTTTGATACTGAACACAAATTCCTACTCCTCAAAGCATACTGTGTGAGTGTCACCCGTTGGGACATGCTCACAGCTTTTGCCCTATACACCAGGAGAGCTGAATTTCAGATAGTTCTGAAAACTCCACAACTCCCCCAGTAGACATCTTAAGATGTTCCTTGTAGCCACCTCACCCTAAGAGTACTCCCATAGTTACAGTCCTGTTGTTAATTGTGGTGTGAAGGTTTGCATAACAAAAAAGAACACATTAGAGGATATACATCCTGACTTCCTTTTACTTTATAAATGCATTGTTTTATACAGTAAGAATATATATAATGTATCTATGTATTTTTTTTAATATCTATAGATGTACACATACAAATACGGAACAAAAAAGATTAATAGGAAGTATTTGCTAGGAGAAATCGTTCAAACAATCTGAAGTATTTTACCTGTTTTATAACTCTGTGATCTATATATATCCCTGAGTTCCTTCATAAGTCGATCTGAAGCCTGAACTGACCCAGAGACTGCACCCTGAAACAAACAAGAGACTCATATGAGCAAAAAATAATACTGACAGCTTTATTTGCATAAGACATTGCTTTACTTCAGTGTTAGTAACAATACATTGATTTCTTCACTAGTATTTGATTTTTAGAACCTGAGTACTCTAGTCAGCAAAGAAACAAGACGCTCCCCTCAGAGCAGCACTTTAATATATATACAAACCATTACATGGTAGAGGTGCTATAGTAAAAGCTATTCATCAAGGTAAAATGACAGGTATATTTTTCCATAAAGAATTTAACCTCCTTGGCATTTTGATTTCCAAGACAGATCCACAATACACACAGAGTTTTCTTCTGGCTTCATCTCACACACACTGAAGGAAGGCTAAAGTTAATCCTAATTAAAGCTTCTGCATGCCAGGTTTTACTGTTTTCTCAGAATTTTACTTTCATTTGGCATGAGAACAAGGTACAGGACTTGGGAATTACCTCCTACAGAACACCAGCTTTTGTAAGAAGTATGAGAAGTTCAGAAAACGTAATATTATTATTGCAGTAAAGAGAAAAGACATCAACAGCTGTGCAGAGGAAAAGCAAAGCAAATTTTAACATACCAAATATTTTGTCATGACATGTCACATTTATGCAACCAGAGCAGAAATGCTCTCTGCTCTTTTAGAGCTCAGTTTAGAATTACTTGACACCCCACTGAGAATTAAGCATACGCCTTCTCTCCTCAGTCTTGCAACAGAAGATATGCCACTAAAGTAAAACCTTTCAGTGTCCTGCATGCAAAACACAACAGGCTCTAAAATACGCCAGTAATTCCCAAATTAACAAACATCAGCTATCAGGTAACTCACGTCCTCTCATATCAACAACTGCTGGATTGCATACATTCTGCATGCATGCTGAGCACTGAACTTCTGTGACCTTAGCATTAACCATTCTGTCTCAATTCCATCAGCTCTAAAGGGAGATTGTACTTTTTCCTCTCAAGAAATTCATGTGTTTATTTAGAAGAACACAGTGATCAGAAATACCTATGTTACTCTTTCAATTCCAAAGCTAATGGGAAAGCTTTTGACACTAAATCTTGCATGCTACATAATTACTCTGCTTCTACATTTCGCCTAAATGACCACATCCAGGACTTCTGACATAAATGCCAAGGAAAAAAATAGCATTACAAGATTTAAAACATGGAAAAAACCTCCAAACAAGGTAAAAAAAAAAAAAAAAAAAAAAAAAAAAAAATCAAACCCAACTCTATTGAGTTTTAAAGTTGCTTGTAAAGTGGCTTTCGCTAAAAGCCAGTTTTCCAAAGGAACATTATTCCATGAGATCCATGCAATTCTCTGCTGCTGCCTGGACTTCAGGCACTTCCACTGAAAGACAGACCAACACATATGGATCATCAGCACTGTTTCATGTTTAAGGAAAAAAAAACCCACAACAGAATAAAGTTCAGTTCAGTCTCTATATGAAGTTCCTGGTGGATGACAGGTTGGTCATGAGCCAGCAGTGTGCCCTTGTGGCCAAAAAGGCCAATGGCTTACTGGGGTGCATTAAAAAGAACGTGTCCAGCAGGTCGAGGGAGGTGATCCTCCCCCTCTACTCTGCCCTGGTAAGACCTCATCTGGAGCACTGTGTCCAGTTCTGGGCACCCCAGTACAAAAAAGACAAGGATCTCTTGGAAAGAGTCCAGCGGAGGGCCACAAAGATGGTGAGGGGCCTGGAGCATCTCTGCTATGAGGAAAGGCTGAGTGAACTGGGTCTGTTCAGCCTTGAGAAAAGGAGACTGAGAGGGGACCTGATCCAGGTCTACAAATATCTAAGGTGTGGGGGCAGAATGGCGAGGCCAGACTGTTTTCAGTGGTGAGTGGAGACAGGACAAGGGGAAACGGCTGGAAACTGCAGCATAGGAAGTTCTGCACAAATGTGCGCAAGAACTTCTTTACAGTGAGGTGACGGAGCACTGGAACAGGCTGCACAGGGAGGTGGTGGAGTCTCCTTCTCTGGAGATGTTCAAGACCTGCCTGGATGCCAACCTGTGCGACCTACTGTAGGGAACCTGCTTTGGCAGGGGGTTGGACTCGATGATCTCTGGAGGTCCCTTCCAACCCCTACAATTCTGTGATTCTGTGAAGCCCTGAGTGACTAGTCTGTTCTCCTACTCCGAGTCCATTAAAAGAAATAAATAGTTCCTAGCATTTTCTTTTGGATACAATGAACATCCACAGACAAATTATTTTTGGACAGAAGTTAGAATTATTTGTGGAAGAATCTGATCCTGCTAGAACCATTGGCCTTACATCTGAAATGTCATCCCTGTTTGCCCAGAATCAACAGCTGTATGTATACCTTGCTTGTAGGATCAAATTATTTCTTAGTAGGGATTAATCATCAATTACTCCTAATAGTAAAGCCAGTTAATTGGTACTAAGACCTCCACGTACTCCTTTGTTTTTGCTGCTCAGTAACATCAGATAATACGATCAGGTTCATACTGTAATCTGCAGACTGCTCTTTCAGGCTATTCATTTTCATGTTACACTCTAATTATGTAGACTGCCTCAATTCCACTAGTTTTTCTTAACGGGTAAGCATGAAGAATGTGTTTTGTAATTAAATATGCAAATAAAGCCAACTCCTTTCAACCGACTTCACAAAATCTGCATGAAGACAGGACTCGAGAGAAGCTCAGTTTGCTGAAGGCCCTGCATACACTGTAGAATCAGACAGAGAAGGAAGGGATTACTCTTCTTTAACTGGAAATGAGTACAGTTCCATGATAAAACAGTGGATGTTTACATACAGGCTATTATTTGCAACTGCAGCCTTAGTGGATATGGTTACAGTCTGCACATATGTATTAGTGAGCCTCTCCTATAAAGCAAATTAACACTGTTTATACACTTTATTTGCTGAAAAAGGAAGAATTCATTTAAAGAGATAATACAATGCAGCATTAACTACCACTTTACATAAAATGTCTGTGCTCTTTCACGCTCGTGTTATGGTACTGTCATGAATATGTCAAGTTCAAAGGAGTGCAACACAGGACTGCCAAGATTTGGGCTTTTCTCAGTGCAGAGCTGAGCAGTACCTTTGCCTCATCTGCTATATTACTTTCTGAAAGAGAGAATTTGCTTCATCTCTTCACAGAATAACAGCCCCTAAATACAAATAACGTAAAAGCAACTTAGATAGTCAAACACAACCTCTGGAATACTAGTTTCCTCCCAGCATTTTTATTTCCATCAAATCAAGCTACTGAATTTCTGTATATAATGTTGGCAGTTCATGTAACCACATGAAACCTGTAAGCATCTTCTGTGCTGTAGTGATTTACAAAGCAAAACATAGCACACCTACGCACTCCTGAACTCCCATTGTAACTGCTGATAAACAGAACTGGTATTTAAAAAGAAGTTAAGTAGTCTCAGCAGACTGTCTCTAGCCACTGTGACCCCTTTTCCTAGGAGTGGCTTCCCACTGTGCTGCCCACTGCTTATACAGCAACATTGAAGTTAGTCTCGATCCTCTCAGGAACCCGTAGACCACAGATCAGCAATCTGTGACCAAGAGAAGGGAGTCTAACAAGCTTAACTGAAGAAGTTTAGCGTAAGAGCTTAATTTACATCCTCTGAACTGCTCTTGGAGGACACTGAAGAGGAAGCATAGGGAGATTCAGAGTTACACCTGATGGCAGCTAAATGCCACTGCTTTGAAATAAAGCCTTCGTTATCAGCAATGGAAAACTTTGGCCCAAGCCAATACAGGCATTATGTTTTACAGAAGCACTTCTAACCTTCACTGATATTTCAGTGACAACATACGCACTCATGAATAAAAATCATTCTAAAATAGATAAACAACTTCAGGAAAGCTGCAAATTCAGAACTGAGCACTCAGAAGCCAGCAGAGCTCACCTAACCGTGCAGAGATCACAGCAAACGCCACTGATTTAGCTGCCTGCTGCACTGTGTCTCTAATGATCGCTCCTGCAGCCTCAGCTTTCCTCCTTTGCACATTCTTTTATGGCCTTCCCACTCCTCCACAACACAACTACAGGCTGTCGCTTGAGTTATCCAAGGCAGCAGGCAGAAGTCACTGCAGTTTTAAAACACAGATACCAGATTGCCTGTCATCCCTCTGATCAGAGGGACATCGCCACACCTCACGACAGTACAGTAAACTGCACCACCAAAACATTTCCAATAACTCGGCTGCAGTACCAAAAATTATTCGGTAAAACAGCAACAAAAGAAGGAAATTCACACAAAATAATGAGATGAAGTCTAAAGTGACTCCAAAAGCACTGCAGAAGATGAGTTTCCTCCACCATCATTTGGTGCTCTCAGGATTTGTGGTGAAGCGCACACTGCATGGAGAGAGACCTCTGAAAAGCAAGCAGCAGCAAGTCATTACAGATGTGAGTTAATGACTCTAGTTCAGGGATTTCTTTTCATTCCCAGTAAGCAAGTAGTTTGTTCTTAGAGCTATCACAATGTTCAGAGGAGGATTAATTCTTGCTTCACCTTATATATATATTTAGGGCTATTTCCTGATACAAACAAGAATAGGATTATAGAGATACTACCAAGGGAAAAAAGTCATTTGTAAAATAGGCAGATAGACATTCTGAACTTGTATAAAAACCACAAACCCTAAAAACTTCTAAAACCGAGCTGTGAGCCACAGAATCCTGTTTTTAACCTGCTAGGAGCATGCAGAACTGGAACTGCGTGTGTTACTTTCCTATGGGAATCTTTAGTACAGTCACTGTCTGCAACCTTCACATCAGCCAAGGAGAGAGGAAAACCTATGGACTTGGGCCAAAAAAATATATAAAGAAATTTACAAGCCTTCTGGTTGCATTTGGCATTAGTCAGAGCAGTCCGTTAAGCTTTAATCATTCCCTCTTCCAAAAAAAGCACATAAATGGCATGGGTTTTGGTTTATTTCCCTCTACTGAGGAAATGAAGTATATCAAAAGAGCTGTAGTCAGTGTGGAAAAACAGACAATGTTCAGGCAGTTTATTTCTGTTGCAGAAAGTCATGCTAAGAAAACCCTTTAAGAAAGCTCATGGAAGAACTATGCAGATTTAAACTGCTTTACCTTAGGATGCTAAGCAAGATGCTGCTGCCTTACAGATTGGGTTCCATTAGAAGTTCCATGTTTCTGCAGTGCAAAAAGCACATTTTAGTGCTACTGGGGTAGTTCTTTCCTGGGTCAGCGGTGTAACTACACTTGTCAGATCTTAAGCACTAAGACTAAAGCTTCAGAAGTCCATTGAGAAATAATTTAACCAGAGCAGCTATTTCTGGTGACCCACAAAAATATCACGGTTCCCCAGCAGCAGTTTAATACACTGCTCCCTGTTCTCAGCTGACCTTATTTATGCACCACCATCAGCAAGAGTGTGCTGGCACGAGAATCAACTATTATGTAAGTAGAATCTGCTGTTGTCAAACAAAAGAAATCACTGGCATTCATTTCAGTTCTATTAGATGAGGAGGGGGAAAAAAAATGAAAAGGAAAGGCAATGGTTGCTAAATGGGAAAGAGGAGACAACAAAAGGAAACCTGCAGCTTTAGGGGGCTTTCCACACCAAGGAAGAATGCTGACACTATAAAAATCTTTCTCAGTTTCACTGAAATTTAGGCAATGTAAGCAGACAATGCCATTCAGGCTGCAAGTGGTCTCATTTCTTGATTTGTAAAGACAAATACGTCCAAGTAATAAATACAGAAAAACAGACAATTTCAAAAGGTATTTGCTCAAAGTCTAAAAAAAACATATTAAGTTTAAACAGAAACAGTATGTGACCATATTGCTTATGGTTAGTTGTGTCTTAAAATCCTTCTGTATGGCAAGATCAGTTTGGTGTCATGCAAAGCAGCTCTTAAATACTGAATGTTCTGCAGAACATAGAATTATGTGCTGTTTGGGTTGGGGTTTTTTTTTAAGTTCAGCAGTGGGACAGGAACAGAAGATCCGCATTTGACTAACTCCAAAAGGAATATTGCTGTTTTATTTTCTCTGCAAAGCTGCAGACTGAATCTCTTCTCCAAGTTAAAGCATCAGTAGAATAGGAAAGATTTCTTCCTCTCTTATGTGGAGTTATTTAGTGCCAGTAGTTGACAGGAAAAAACAGACAAGATTCTGCTAACTCAGAGAGATCTAGTAGACTGGCTCAGCTGCCACTGAACACTTAGAATGTGTACAGTTTCTGCTACAAATGAAAAGAACTTTACAACAGTAATTCCCTTGAGTCTAATTTTTGAGAACAGTTTTAGATAAAATTTACTGGAAAAAATTCAAAGTTTAAGAAGCAGAACTGACAAAGCTAGTTACTCAGGAGAAAAGAAATAATCAGGTGTTCCCTACGTACCAATCCTAAATCCTATTCCTTCCCTAAACATGTACAGGCCCACAGCTTACACCTGACTGCTACTCACATTCTCAGCTATTACTTGAAGAGAAACAGCACATCCAGTGCCTGGACAAGATCTACACATCTCCTAACTTGCCAAATAGCATTAAAGAAGATACATATGGAAGAGCTCAAACAGCAGAGGTCACCTCTTCAAGCATATTCATTAAGGTGACTTCAAAAAAACCCTACAGAACCCTTATCTTTAGTTGAAATTGGTCATGAGCAGAAGTATTGAGTTTCATGTCTTTTATACATAATAAGCCTCTGTGAAACACAAGTTTACACTTTTTGGAAGCCAGCCTAAGTAACAAATGTTGTGTGACATCACTCTTTCTTATGTGCATCTTTGAGCCAAAAGCTGCCCTTGAGCTCAGCATTAACGACATGGTGTTACTCAGCCTATCGACAGTAACTTAAAATCCACACAAGTCACTGTTAACAGTTTTATGTCCTCAGGATCACTGCCATGATAAAGCTTGCTCTATTTATGGTAAAAGAACTTTCAGCACTTTCCCAGAAACTTTCAAGATCTCATCTGCAAGGAGAATTACTGTTCATAACAATAAGCACCAAGCAAGAAACATAAGGGCAGCCAAATAGATGCCTCTGGAAATTGGATGTGCAGTTAAATACCGTTAACAAGTGTGAAATATGGATTCATATATAATAGCTGACACTCCTGAAAAGACAGAAGATGCTTCTTTCTCCAAAAGGCCAATGCCACCCTAATCCAGATTGACATCAGAAGTTACACTAGCATTCTCACAGACTGGACAAGAGTGCTTTGAAGCAGTTTTTCTACCTTTGTGGAATGCTGATTCTGAACTTCATACGCCAAAGATTTTGATAAAAGATGAGTCCAGATTTTTGTCCTATGTGTGCTAGAGGTCGTCTGTATGTTAATTTATCTTTAACTGTGTAGCAGCAGGCTCTATTTTCTGAAAATCATTTCTGTTTTAAGGCCAAGAAGACGGAAAGGAAAAAAATACTTCATTAACTCACATTTAAGTGATCTTGCCTTTGATTTTTTCTGATTTTTTCTAAGATTGCAAGGTTCTCTTTTTCAATGCCTTCATCCTCGGATTTCTTCCCATCAACTGGTTCCTCCTCCTTCATATCATAGTGATCCAGATCTTCAATGTCCTGCAGGGCAGAGAAAGATTCCTTGTTAACAGCTATGCTCTTCACTCAAGGAAACTCTTTAAGGGCATTTACAGGTTCAGTCATTACACTGCACAGCAATACATAGCAGTGACTGCAGTGATTGCTGGATGCCATTTCTGTTTTGCTTTGACCTAATTCATTCAGCCAACAGTATTCAAGGGAAGCATAAGGAACCCTTACAATACAAATGAGAGCCAGATTCACAACCTGCCTGTGATTATAAAAACAAGCACAATTAAACCTCTATGAGAAATGAAGATTTCCCATAGAAATAGTAAATTAGCCTATTGAAGTGGGTAGGTAGGTAGAAAACTGGAAGCTAAGGAATTCTTAAGTCCATTCCAAAAGCATACAAACTTAGCTATCTCCAAGATGCTTACAAAAACAGACTGTTTTTCATTTTAGAATCCTAGCTATTGTACTTCTGGCACAGGGTGATGAACACACCTGGCAGGGCTACAGCAGCCCTCCAAGAAAGCTAAATATCAGAAAACAACTTGTTTTTTATTCAAAGTGAACATTCTGGCTGATGATTAGATGGAGCAGCTTGGGAAATGCAAGACAAGACAATTTCATACCTCCAAGTATCCTGAGCATATGATCCAACATTTCAGTTCTGAAACAGTCCTAAATTTTTTAATAATCTTTTCTGTTGAAGTTTAGGGAGACAATATTTCACAGTTTTGGCTTAATAATTAGCCAGTCACCGCAGAGCACAATGCCAGTATTCCACTAGATTAGGATAACAATCCCATATGCATACATACTTCACCCATATCTTCCTCCTCCTCCTCCTCCGATGTAACTTCTTCTGTCGTTCCATTCTGCAATGTAACAGGGAGGTTACTGCATTAAATGCACACATTCCTTTCTTCCAAAAAAATCAGGGAGTCTTCTAGCAAACAGTAAATATGAAAGTTACATTTATCAAGGTCTACGGAAGATTGAAGTTTAAATGGAAGGATACACAAAGATGCTTTCCTGGAACATGGCAACGAAGAAATACTTGGATGAAACAAAAATCAATAGAACGCCACAAATTCACATTAAGTTCTACATGGAAACTTAAAATCCAGGTAAAGACATCCTAGTTTTGAGACAGCAGTGACATACAATAAACAAGTGGGTTATAACTCATGACGTCTTAAACCATGAAAATGAGATCACAGCTCTGACTGGAAAGCACACACACGCTAGAGCTCTATAAATTCATGGTCCTTGGCCACACTACCTGGAACTACTGCTGCACCCATCAACATTATATAGCCACTGTTATTACATTATCTGATGACATACTGAAGCAGTACACTGGGTTGGTTTTTCAGAGCTTTCCATTTCAGGATACCACTTCAAGCTCAGGAAGTTTGAGCTGCAGAAATAGTTGGAACCATTACATCCTTCTCCTCTATTTACCCTTTTTTTGACAAGTAAGGAATGCCCCTACTGTACACAATGCAAGGTACTGGATGGATCTTCTGTCTGACTTATCAAAGCCTCTTTCTTAACTTGAAAATTATCCAAAATTTCCAGCTGTGAAACTCTTTCATGATTTTAGAGTTTCAGAGCATAAACAAGACTCTTCAATGAAGCTGCTTCCTAACGTTACAGACCTTGGAGGTGCACAGCCACGTGGGTGGCCAAGAGACAAGAACTATAGTATTACTGTTTGGCAGAAAACCAAAAATCAAGCAAGTTATTTGCCATTATTATAGTATGGTCACCACAGGAAAACCATCTGTTACACTAAAAGAGTCTTTAGAAATTGTCATCTTAACACGTACAAGCAAAAGCAGACAAAAATCCTATTAAAAATACAAAAACAACATGCTCACTGTCAGCTACCAGTTCTGTTTTCAGCACAAAACATTTTAGTCAACCAGAACATTTAGCAGCCTTTCACAACTCTCAATTTGTCAAGTGCACAAGAAGTAAACAAGACACCTCAAGCAGATACTTTCTGCCCAAAGCAGCACACGGTCCTGATATCCTACATCTCTGCAAGAGGTCAAAAAGGCAGGAAAGCATCAGTAGCAAATTAATTCAAGTGCATGTTGTAAAATGTATACTCTTCATAAGGCAGCATACAGTGTTTTGTTGTATGAGGCTTCAAGGCAAGGCTGTATGTGGCACTGGGCAGCCTGGTCTTGTGGTTGGCAACCCTGCTACACTGCATCACATCTAAGTTCTGGCTCATACAAAAGTTTTCAGCATTCCACTGTAATCTTTCTTAGAGTTGAAAAAATAACTCTTTGATTTCCATAAGGTGTCCTCAGGTTCAACTTGCCTGTCCAGCTGGTAACGGCTGATCTAACATTTCAACATCTGGATGCTGAGGAAGATTATACAATCTGCAGAGGTCACATATTAATCGCTTCAGCTGCTGGAGAAGCTATGAAAAAAAGAAAACATGAAAGCATCTATTTAGACCAAGCCACAGAAGAACATATTTTAAAGTACCTTTGCAAGTTGGTATTAACTTTCAGTCAACCTACAGCATTTAAGTCTGCAAGTACTAGAATAAAGACACCTCTTTCTGTCTGCAGTTGTCATAATAAAAGCCACCACAATGGGATACCAAAGACACAGCAAGTTAAAGATGGCTTCTCTCTTTCTTCTCGCATCACGCTGAAAAAAAAAAAGCAGTGAGCAAAAGAATTATCTGCTCTGACAGTGTAGTTCATTGCAGGCACAGATCTCAGAGCCACAAATCACTTGGGAACAATCAAAGGGCTGTATTCCTCAGGACATGCTGGTGCATTCCACTTTCCTAGTTTAAAGAGCAACGTTTTAAAAACAAAATCCAGCTAAACCCACACACCGCATCCTGGATCCCTCTTCAGGGCACAGCAAGGCAGCTCCAGAAGCAAACCTAGAAACACTGGCACACAGTAATCACACAGCACTGCAGCAACTTGCAAGCTTCCAGACAGACCAATTCCTAATGCACTGCAGCACAAATTTCATCATAAACAGGGAGGCAGGAACGTGCAGCTGAGAGGAGGGATCCCCTTCCTTGGCAGAGGTCTGCAATTCAGGGTTAGCTCAATGCAACTGAAAAACTGCAGTTTAATTTCTAAAGCAAAATACTTGATACCAGTCTTCCTTCCTGCTACATTTTTCCCCTCAAAGAAATTCATTTCACACCCTTGCTCCTTCGGCCATGGATCACCTTAATCGTTATCCTTTATGCTTCGTTCATATGTATGAAAGAATTATAGGACAATTTGGGCCAGAAGGCACATTTGGGAGTCAACCCCATGCTTTAAGCAGTGCCTAGCATGATTTTGTATGTGTTAGTGGTAAACAAAGAGACATATCAAAAGGGGCAGCAGATTTCTGTCTCGTATTAATAATTTAAATGCATTTCCTGGCTAACTTAACATGCTTGGCTAACATGCAAGTATCGTAGGAGAGTTTTTACCACATCAAAATTTACCATGTCAAGTGAAAAGCTTCAACATGCACAGCCTGTCTAATGCCCATCTGAAGAGCATGCTTTTCAGTTTCCCAAACAGCTGATAATCAGAAGTCGTAAAGCAAACAGAAAGGGCAGAATAATACCAAAGGACTTCAGAGATCTGATGAAATGCATTTAGCACATTTGCTCTGCTGAGCTCCTGGAGAGCTTAATGCCATTTCTCATTCAGCATTTTAACTGTTTTAACAGTAACATTTATTATGAGTTTGAAGCAATGTGAAACAACACACCTTTAGCTGAAGTTAAGTGAAAACTGGTTTATAGCTTTAAAAAGAAAAAAAAAGCAAAACACTAAGTTGATATAAATTAGCTTTGGCATTCATTTCTGCAGGCAGTTCCTTATCCTTTCTACCCTAGCACAGGAAGGGTGTGTGCAAGCTGCTCAAACTTCCTTGATGAGGGTGTAAAGGGTAAAGTTGGAAGGGAGAAAAAACACTCTGTACCCACAAACTCAAGCCTTTTGACCCCAAAGTCTGATTTTGTCAAGTAACCTTCTCTATTTTGTCTTCATTTTGATACTACACGCTGTGGGGCTGATTGCTGAGAAGCCAGTGGGCCATCATCTACAGGTGCTACATCAACTCACCACTTTTTAAATGGGCAAGTACAATTCTGGTATCAGAAGCTGCTTCGTTACAACAAACATCAGTGGTCTGTGCCTGCATGCAATTCAGGGCAGCAAGTCCCACATATTTGTGACAAACATTTCCCACGTGCAATCTTGTATACAGGTAAGCTTTAGTCTGAAGCTAACAGTCACATCAGCTTCACATTGATCCCCTTCTGTAGAAAGGACTTTCTGAAGAAAGGTGATTGGGCTGAACTTCCCACTATTAAACAGCCCTATGTCTCCTTAGGCAGAGGTCACAGACCAAAAACCTGTATTTAGCATTTCCTTAGCTCTCTTCTTGCTTCTATAGCTGATGTAGTTTCCATGCAAAGAAAACACTGAAAGTGCTATTTTCCCTCATTGAGTTCTGATGCATTTCTCTGCTTATTCTCAGAAAGCCTGAAACTTTTTGGGGCTGAGACGTGACTACAGTGAAAACCATTAAGTCATCTTCCTCTTTTTGTTTTAAATCTTTTGGATTGCTTTTTACGTGCACTTTTCTAGAAGAGGAAACTCATGCTTGCAAAGACCCCAAAATAAACTCTAAACTGAACCATTAATGTGAAAAAGCTTGAACAAAAAAAACACGTAAAGCAACCAGAACTCACCAGAGTATTGCTCTTCTTAATATCTTCTAGACGCTCCAAGACTGAAGTCAGGTTTGGGTCATCTGATTCTACAAACCATATTGGTGATGAAGAGGGGTAAGATTCCTGTTTTTAAAAAATAACAACGAATGAACAAAAAAGTTCAAAGCTTTTAAAGCTCATTCACATTCAAACTTTGGCAGTGCAGTAACATCTCATCTTACCCTAAGCTGGGTAACATGGAAGAAAAGTAACGCAGTAACTTGAGGCAACTCAAGAGAAGTCAAAGGAATTCCAGATAACTGGTTCTTCTAGTATTACACTGTTCTCATCTGGATCAAACAATGGACTTTCGTAAGAAAGTACTGAAAAGTTTAAAGTTCAGAGGGCAAGTAGAGCAGAAAGAAGCAGCATAGAAATTCAGTAGAGATGATGATTATATTAAAAAATATATATAGAATTACAACTAGAACATATCAGAGCACGGATATAGTTTTATTCTATTTTTTCACAAGAATACAGATTCCTCCAAGCAGTATCTATGACAGCAACAACACATGGAGGCTTAAGACCTCCTCTGGATTACTCAAACTGTTCAGCTCAAATAGCGTCGACTCTCAGACCAGAGCAACACAGTTCAAACTTCCTGCCTTCAAGGCAGGCAAAAGACAATGCCAAAAATGCCTTTTTTTTCTTTGCACCATCAGGTAGCAAAGCACCATACCTTGCCATTGTTGAAGGTCATCTCAAACCACCGTACGTGCTACACACACCAGTAGGTACTACACACATCAATGGATCCCTGCAGTTGTTTGGCAAGCACCAAAACGCGTCCTACTGACAGTGAGCGCAAGTGGGTTCACAGGACTAGCAATCCATCTCATTTTACACAAGCAGCCATGGTCAGAGCACACACAGCACAGAACAGATGTGGCCCACAACCACCTGCAATCCATGACAAGCAGCTTTTCTGTCACTAAACTGGCACAGCAGACAGCCTTTCAAGAAGTGCTAGCAAGACCCTCGTTGCTCCTCTCTCCACCGTCAGGAGACCAGGGGCAAACCTAGAATAAGATGGTTGTTGCCTGCAGACCTTATCTGTGCCTAGTCTGGAGGGCCTATCAAATAATCTTCAAAAACACTTACAGCAAATCTTTCCTCAGACAAGGACATGACTTGCAGCTCAGGTCTGACGAGCAAGAAACCCCACTGTGTGTTTTATCACACCACAGAGGCTACTTGAACACGCTGATGCCTTCTCAATGAATGACAATCCTCCTCATTCCAAGTCCTGCCACATGCAAGGAAACATAGCAGGACTTGATGCTGTCTGCCTTATGAATGTACAGCATATATAAATTACTATAAATCCCCAAAACACATTAAACATTCATTTTTAGCCTGCTTTAGCTTCTGAAACACAAACAGAAACCATGCTTTAATCTGAAAGGCTTCTGTTAAGCACTCAAATATATCAGTACTCATATATATCAGAAAAGTCATAAGTCTAACTTCCAGCTCACTGCAACACTTTTTAATGGCAAATCTGCAGTGTTAAGTATGTTCTTTTACCCTAATGTAAATGGCACCAAATTCTTCCTTCTTTAAGTAACACATTTATGGAAAAGCTGAGCCTCGTGCAGCTATGAGTCACTGTATTTTGAAATAGAGAATTCACACACAAACTTCAAATAAAAATCCTGACCCTGAGATACAAACAGGCTGATGAGTTTGTAATACCAGCGTGCAACAAAAAATGGAGCTTGTGGTTTGTGAGGTCAAAGAACTGAGCTGCACTATAGCCAGTTTTGTTGAGAGTTAACTCAGCTGTTTCCTGTGTCTGCATCCTATAGAAAGGAGAGATGGATTTCATATTTATCATGTAAGAAACACAAGCTTCCCAAACATGAAGACATAACTCATGAGAACTAACCTAGAAGAACAATTCTTTTCTACTAGATACCTGCTGTTCAAAATACTGATTATTAATATTTCCCAGTGACTAAAAACAAGATTACTTTGGTCCTATGACTGCACAGCTGACCTTCAGCGTCGCTGCGTGTCAAGCTTAGCTGCACAAGCATCAACCACATTATTATCCATATTAAGTTGTTAAGCTCTTCTAGGCCACTGCTGTAACACGGCATTTTCCTGCTCTCTACAATTAAACGCAAAAATTCGTCACAACAGAGAAAGGCTAAACGTTCAGATCTGGGCAGCTTTCTCAAGCTAATGCACGCTGTACAGCTTGCAAAGCTAATGCAATTGCTCAGGAAGCCATGACATGCTGGGATGACATCACACCTAGCGTGCACTGAGGCCTGAGGACAAAGGCTGGATGTTTACAGCCAAGCCAGATAGAATTACAATTCATGGGCTCATCACTTCTACAGAGTCTTTGTATCAACACCAGGACAGACTGGGAGCTTTGTCAACACCAACACTTCTGGTGCTTCTGTTGCAGAATACAGCAAAAGGATTGAGTCTCATAATAAATGTACCAAAAAGCAAAAACAAAGAAAGAAAAGCTCCACATTCCTGCCACTGGAACAACTGGCATTACCATTAATTATCCAACAAGGCTGTTTTACTTGCACCGCTCAATAATCTTCAACTGGTTTCACAAACCCCCAGCAATACCGTCCTGACGTCAGCATGAGACTTCAGCTGCTTCTCTATTTCTACAACACTGTTTCGAGTGTGAAGTTACTAAATTAAAAAGCAAACCCCCAGCCCACAACCCTCCCCTGGCCAACCCAACCCCACAACACCTTGCTCACATCCCTGAGACGGCCACAGCCTGCGCACAACAGCTGCTACACCTAACACAGGAACACAACATGCCCACACATTTTATTATGATGAATGGTCAGGAAACTCACCCAAACCTACATCTTCAGCATCACGGCTTAAAATAACTGTTACTCACTGCCACTTCTTAATTTTCTTTGATTTTTTGATAACCTTTGATTGAGTGCTATTTTTTTTTTCTTCTTTGAAATCTCCTTAGTAAACTGGCTAAATAAAAGCCAGCCAACTGGATTCCATTTCCTAAGCTTTGGCAGAATCTCTATCATTGACAGAAATCAGTACCATTCTTTTTACATCTTTTTAGAACTAAATTACAAATTTTCCCTGTGTTTTAATTAAGAGTTCTCTGGGAATCTCTTTTCTTACCAAGACATTCAGAAATCACCATTTATGATGCAGCCCAAAGGACACTGAACACATTACGGTATTCTGACACTTCATTTTCACATTTAGGGAAAAAACTGCACTTCTACATACGAAAGAATTCTAATTTCCTTAATAAACTATCAGAGCAGCAATGCTGTTTTACATAAAATAAGTATATGCAGTGGGAGGTTTAAAAGTCAAATTTAATGAGGGTGTGGAGGGGCATGGTGAAGAGAGTAAAGCCCTTACCCACCTGCCTTTGATCAGCAGAACACCTGCACTTTGCTTTCTCTGTGGATTTGAAGACTGCACAGGACATACCATTACCTGCTGCACGGCTAAATGCACATAACAGCAAGACACACTTCATTCACTGGAGTTCAGCCACAGAGAGATCCTTACCTACCCCAGAGCCACAGAAAGCAAGCTTCTGCTAGCTTAAGTTTCTTACAGTCTTCCTGAAGTCACAGACCAACATCTGCACCAAAGCATGAACTCTGAAAGGAACCTACATCAACTGACTAAAAAGCACGCATCTTTTAAACTCAGAAATCATTGCAATACCACCTTGAAGTTCACTGACTGCAGCCTATGCTGCCAGACAATTCCAGACAATACTGAGTGCTCTGCTCAGAGCTCCAGACACTGCGAAAGCTCAAACATCTTCACAGAGGCAGGTGACAGAATGCCACAGCCCTTATCCTATGCAGGTTCTGCTCACATGTTCATCACTACATCACTGAATACCTTCAGAAGCACATCATAACACACTCACGGCTTTCCTCTCCAAAATATTCTCCAGAGAAGGATGCAAATGTAGCAGACCATGCTGCTTCAGAATTGTTTATGTTATTAAATACAGCCACAGCAGAGAAGTCAGCGTCGAAGGCACGTGCCTGGCAGAAGGGAAAGGCCATCACAAATTGCATCTCTATGGAAGTACCTGTAACAATCACAAATTGTTCCAAGCAAAAATAAGTACAGCTTTCTGCACAAACAAGTCCTGTTGACTGCAGAAGGCTACCAAAGAAAAACAGAGGAAGGGAGAAGGCAGTGAAGATCCCCAGGAAAGACTTCACTAAATGCTGCCTTCCATCCAGCACATACAACAATCACTAAGCTTGTGACACGACCTAAGCTATGTCTGTGTTACATCTAGGCACACACACAGCTCACGCATACATCATTACCTTAGAAGAAGCCATAACACACACAAGCAAAGCAGCAAAGACAAAACTTTACTTTAAATGGTTACAAACATGAATGCAGATGTGGCATCACAGCTCATACGCTTCTTAGGAACAAGTCTTCACACTTAGTCAGTTCTTCAAACTATTTTGTCTACTCAAGATGTCCCACCTGCTGATTCTCACATGTGGAACTGCACAATACCTTTGGAAAATGATCCTTAGTGGACTGCTTTATCAGCTGCTCAACAACTCACCCCATAAAGGCAGCAGGCTGTATGCTGCCCAGCATGCCACATCCACACACAGTTAAAATGTCAACTGAAAGCATAAATGCAAAACGGTCGCTTTTCTGATAAAAGCACAGTTACTTACCTTTATTTTGAATAAACATTTTATTCTTCAGGTCACCACCATAAGGCAATATGCCATCAATTCATCCACACAAATTCACAGGAAATGCCCTTAACGCTTCTGTAGGGACCCAAAGTCAAACGCAGCAGGTCTCTGCTCAGCCCTGAAGCTACACTACACGTGGTTTTGCTGACTGCACTGCACATGACAGCTGCTGAGGAGCAGTGTGAGGTCTCCACAGATGGAAACTGCTGTTCAGGATCAACACAGAGAGTGAGCTAAGTAACATTCTTTTGCCAGTATCACTGACAGATGTATCCCTGCGTGCCTGTATTCTCACCTAACAGCTGTCAGGGAACGAGTGTTTGAGAGCTCACAGTCCCAGTGCATTACACAAGCATTCAAGCT